AAGATTGCACAGATTTATTACGATATGGATTTCGTGATATTTTAATGGGAATATGGTATTCTTCCCCTTCAGCTGATTTTTGGATATTAAATTTATTACGTTTTATTGCATTAAGTGGTTTTGTCCTGCGATGGTTTTCACTCTCTAATTCATAAAGAGAACATTCGAAACTATAATAACTGCTCGATTCGTGAGTAATTTCTTCATAATTACTACTAATGTTGCATGAATTGGAATCATTTTGGAATCCTTTCCCTTGTCTTGATCGAGGAAGCATTTCTTCGGAGCCGTACTTGTGCATGAAATGACTAAGCTCTTTCGTAGATTCATCATCGTTATCATTGTTATAATCGTCACCTTCGTTATCATCGTCATCATCGTTATCATCGTCATCATTGACTATTGCATTTAGCCCGTCCGCGGAAACATCATCATTTTGTTCTAAAGATTTTATGAGTTTGGCCTTGGATGATGCATATTTTTGTTCGTTCCAGAAATTTGATTCCGCAACGGGCGTCTGATGGAATATGCCATCTGAATCATTTGAGTCATCCCTATAACATGTGGACTAAAAATGAAGGGAAATATTCGGCATCTGGGAAAGGGCACATATTTAAAAATTGTTACATATTTTTTCTTAATGGCGCCAAACTATAAACAGGCGAAATAGTGTATATATTTGTTACTCCTATAATTAGAATCGTACCTTATGAATGTATGTAGTAATACCCAATAAAAGGGTAAGCGGGAAGGTTCTACCATAAATGAACATATTAATCTCTTTCCCTTTGAAGAATAAAAGGACTTCTTAGAAGTGTTATTGTACCTATTATAATAATTATGGGTTGTACTAGAATATTTAAAGATTGCTCTTTCCGACTTGCAGTTCGTATCTCCTTTTTTTATGTAAAGTTATTGCAACGATAAGAAATCCTGAATGTACTATTCTCCATGAGAAAGAAAGAGGCAGAGGGAATTATGTTAGAAAACTCAAGAAAAAAGAAAAAATACAAAATTCCTTTAGAATATTTTTGAATATTCCAACATAGCAACATTTCTTTGAATTATTA